GTGAATGAATATTTCCTGAGTACTCACTGAGTAACAATACTCAGAAATTGTTAGTAGTACCAATATGAGTACTCATGGACGAATTATGAGTAAAGTCGTACTCATCGTATGAGTACTTTCACTAGGGCATCTATCTGCTCAAACTATTGTTTACTCAACGATGAATTCAATCAGATCAGATATATTGGCAAAATTTAACAAAGTGGTCAGTCCAAAATCAGGTGAAGCTGAGCCTCAATTGGTGGAAACCAAGTGAGGCTTGGGTCTCACAGACTCCGCCACCTCTGATCTTACAGTTAACACATGTAAGTAGAAAATGATTTGAGCAGGTTAACAATGTCAGAACGATCACGACCTAGTGGACTAAAAATAACTGGATCAGATTAGCTTTTTTAAATGTATTCGTTGCGCATTTCTTAAGACAGTCAACTGATCTTTCTTTTTTTTGTATATTATCTAGCATGATTCTTAATCCTGCATGTTTTTTCGTTTACTATCTATGGCATTTCTGATTTCTGCCTCTTTTGTGGTCTTTCCATCAAAGTAGTAGAGCTTCTGTTGTTTATTTTGCTCAAGATTAAATTTTCCAAGTGAAATAGTACTAAACTGTTCCTATACCGATGCATGCATGCTTCATAGTAACATTTGTTTCATCACATCATTGATATTTTTCTTGTATGATGCTTACAAAGTCAGCACTCTCAAAAACTACACAACGCAGAAAGGTTCTGAAAACACGAAATCGTTTTATGAGTGCCGAGGATTGACCACTGAGTATTCTTTTTCCAAAATTCACGTTGGAACCGGCGCCACAGGGTTTGAAAAGCGGGAGAAAATTGACTTTGAACTTAGAAAGTTTTCGTATATTCATTAATAGCTTGTTGTCCGACGCCATTTGTTCTTCAGAGGAAAAATAATTCTCTCCCTCTCTTTCTGAACTCTTTCATTTTCTCTTCCTCGCTCTCTTCTCTAAATTTCGTTTTCATTTCATTTTTCTGAAATCTCTCTTTTAAAGCAACTGAAGCCACAATGAAGGTGTTGTGATGAATCTCCTATCGACTGCTTCTGGCAGATTCAGATCAGATACAGTCTGTCGCCATCGCAACTTGTGCGCAGCACAATACTTTTCTTTCTTATTTGGTCATTTTTTTTGCAAAATGTTAGTCGCGTGGTCTAAAGAACTACGCTACAGCATGTAAATTCATTGCATTAAAAAAGACGCGGTTTTTGAGAAAAAATCTCTCAGACGCATCTAAACGTCACGGTATGACCCAAGTTGTGAATGATCCTCTTTTTTTCAGAACCCATCCTCTTTGTCCTCTTTTCGAGTCATTTTCCCTCTTTTTCGATGATTTTGTTACAAAAATGCCTGATTTTTAGCAATTTTAGATTCAAATATAAGTTTAGATATATTTGAGTCATTTTTTAAAGTGAAGAATTTCAGTACAGAAAATAAGAGATAAACCACCTTTATAATGATGAAAATAGACTATTTTCTGTTAGAGACGTTTCTTTATTCAAAAGACATCAAAGTCAAATGTGACAGACGATAGTTGATTCAAAATATAAGATAAAATACAAACTAGATAAATACAACTTTTTCACAATATATGACGACTGAATGCATTCTACATATATGTATTTCATTTTATCTTTTATTTTGAATCAACTATCTTCTGTCATATTTGACTGATGATTAGAGTCCTGCAGGTTAAATCTAACCTATAGATTAGATTAGGTTTAGGTTATGAAACCTTTTATAGGTTAGGTTGTAGGTTACGTCATTGATAAACTATTTTTAACCTACACGAAAGAAACCGATTTTGAACGACCACATTAAAGCAGCCAACACATTGCGTAATAAACCGTAGTTCGAGTGGAGTTTTATCGATTGAGGATGAAGTTCAGACCGAGGTTCTCTAGTTTCAGCTGAACTATTTGTAAACTGAAAAATAGCACAATCAAAAAAGGAAGTACAGAGAAAAAACTTCCGTTTGCTAAAAATAGATGGCAACTACACAACAATAACGAAACCTTCGCTTACCTTTCAGAGGGTGTTTAGATAAAAAATAATAACGATATGGAAGAAAACTGAAATTTAGGCTTCTGAAACCAGATTTTGGGAAGAAATTGCAAAAGGTTGTATTAGGTTAACCTAGGTTAGGTTACACAAAACATAAATAGGCTAGGTTAGGTTTAGGTTGTGAAAATTTTTATAGGTTAGGTTATAGGTTGTCGAAAAGTCGTAACCTGCAGGACTCTACTGATGATGTCCGTAGCGAAACTTCTTGTACCCCCCCAAGATCTTGGAAAAAACACCAGGAAGTCAAGACGTTGGATTTCTGAATCTTTCGCTCAAGATCTTGAAACATCCTGGTTTACTTCACTCAAGAGCTTGCGGACAGAAATTTCAAGATCTTGAGTGACAAATTTTCTTTACATTTTGTTTTTATTTATGACAGTCGTAGCCATTGGATATACGACCATATAGAGTCATAGATTCTTCCTTAACACATTGCACGCTGTCCACTGATATATCAGTAGCCCAATTTGTTCTATTCAATGATGTCGTCAGCGGGCAATGGGTTAAACAACTATGGTCAAGAAGGAAAAAAATCCGAAGTTATTGTACACGTGAAAATATTTGCACTGATACTTACGCGAGAGTGTAAAACAAAACGATGATTCAAGAATTTTCAAGATCTGGATACAAGATGTCAAGGAATTACAAGCTGTTCAAGATCTTGACTGCTTGAAATTTCTTGAATTTTTATATTTTCTTATCAATCAAGAACTTACTGAAAAAATTCAAGAAGTCAAGATCTTGGTTACAAGAAGTTACACTAGAATCTTTCGAATAAAGACGAAACGTCTCTAACAGAAAATAGTCTATTTTCATGATTATAAAGGTGGTTTATCTCTTATTTTTTAGATACATGCTTTATATCTATGCCGGTACATAAAACTAAATTTAGCCAAGAATGGTTGAAAAAACTGGGTCCTGGGGGCATTTCTGTGAGGCTAGGGATGCACCGATTAATAATCGATATTCGGGCATTTAGGAAAACCGTTCCGACTTGGTTATAGTAAATCTCTCAGAACTGCGGAATATCTCATTTTGTAGAGAAAGGTTGCTCTACAAAAGTGTTAAAAAATGTTTAATGTTATTTGTGACAAATTGAAATATTGAAAAATTTGCAAAATCGCAAAAAAAAATCGAAGATCGATTATTTTTTTTTGTGACTTTTGTGCGTTTTTGATTAAACATATTTTTTCGATATATAACATTAAACCCTTTTTAACACTTTTATGGAGCAACCTTTCTCTACAAAATGAGATATTCCGCAGTTCTGAGAGATTTATTATAACCAAGTCGGAACGGTTTTCCTAAATGCCCCAATATCGATTATTAATCGGTACATCCCTGTATGAGACGATGACTGAAATAAGGTATGTTTTTGTCTGTGTGAAATCGTGAATAAATTAAGTGAATATCTCAGCAGTGTCTTGTCTTATCACCTCGGAACATAGTAATACGCATAAAGACCTACTATACGCTTTTAGAGCGGAAAAAATCTTTTTTCTCTTTTTTTCGATACTAATCCTCTAAAAAAAATTGAGAACATGCTCTTCTCTCTCAAAATGACCGTTCACAAGCCAGGGTATGACGCGTGTAGCACTTTTTACTAAAAAACACACGTCTTAACGCGTTTTGCCAGAAGCAAGACGCTTTAACTGGTCTAAATTTTTTTTTGGTCTTTTTGTGATGGTTGTTGAAAAACGTGTTCTCTGAAGAACAATTGTGTCTCCTATAGAGATAAAAAATACCTTTCAGAAAAATGAAGAATCTTGTCTTACAATTCTTTAGAAAACACATACGTGATCTTTATAGAGGACAAACGAAGTGATTGTTTTTGTTTTCTGAAGAACACAAATTTTTAACAGAGTGCTGTAACCAATTCATCGTTACCTTCCACAATTGTTTCAGCCATATTTACATCCTGATGAGAGCACTGTGTGTTGATCTTCAGATAGCTTGATAGCTGGCCGTATGTCTGCGTGGAATTATATAGACGGAGCGCAAGAAAATAATGTCGACATGTAGCGACCTCATCTAGATTCGAGTAAGCCTGATTGCTGGTTTTGCAAGAGCAGGAGACGTTTGTTCAGCTGGACCTAAACGAAAAAATAGAAATGAAAATGTGGATAAACTGAAGTGTATGCACGTACGATGGTCAAGATAACCAACTTTTTGATAACATGTATTACAAGCACCTTTGGTGTTATAAAAATCTTTTCCAATGCTGTTTCTTGACATAGCCTACATAAACTTATAAAATACTTTTACTTTTCGTATATATGAGATGCGGATACTATGTGTGTCTTTTTTTTTCTTCTTTTCTCTCTACAACATCATAAAGATAGCAACAGTTCTTCAATTTTTTTTTTACAAAATGCAGAGAAATAACGGTTTATCACTCTAGCCAAACATATATCTACATGCACTTCTTCACTACCACCAATTCAGTCACCATTGACTCCTTTTCAGCCACTTAGAAATACACAACTTCTGCATAACGCTACTTCTACCACTTAATCTCCTGAGTATTCTCATCTTATTCTTCGCTTAACGGAGCAAATGTCACACGCTCCAAACAGAGCAGCTCTGTCGAAGAAGTGTGACGTATGTCAAGAACGAGCTGGCACGTTGTCATGCACTGGCTGTGAGCAAGTCTTCTGCAAACAAGACATGACTAAACATCGACAGCAGCTCTCACGTGAACTCGATCTCGTCATGCGCGAACATAATAATCTCGACAAACGAATTCAACATAAGATGACAGGTGATCAGGGTGGACATCGAAAGCTGCTCGATCAGATCAACGAGTGGGAGAAGTCAGTCATCGATAAGATCAAAGATGCTGCTCAACAAGCACGTGAACAAGTGCATCTCTTTCTTGGTGCTCAACCAGCCCATCGTCTCAGACAAATCACCGATGACATTGAATCTAGAATGAAAGAGGAAGACTATGTTGAGACAGACATCGAGTATTGGAGTAATCAAGTGAAGAAACTGAGTAAAGAGATTGAAATGGGTGATTCGACGAGCATCGTGATCAAGACTGCACAGGTTGAGTGGACGTCGTTGATCAAGGTGCAAGAGATATTGCCAGGGAAGACGAGAAGAACACTTGATTATGGACGACTGAAAAGTGAAGCATCGAAGGTGATCAAAGACGAGAGGTATATCTATGGCTCATCCCCCGACTTTTTGTTACTTCATGCAGACGGACAAAGTCTATGTTTATCAGATCGAACAGGGAAGAACAAAATAGAGATCAATTTCAAGTCAGACTGTTGGATAAACGATGCTTGCTGGTCGACATTTCTGAATGGATTTATCATTCTAACTGGTGTAGGAGATTCATATACATTAGATGTTGCAAAACGACAAATGAATGTGATTGGTAAACTCAGAAGTCATGACAAAAAGATATTTCGATCTTGCACATGTTCAGGAGAAACATTGTTAATTAGTACATATGAAAAAGGCTCATCAATTGAGAGTGGTATTCAACTATGATGGATGATCAGAAGAAGAGTGATGGAGATGTGTTAGTAGTGTGGGTGATTGTGTAGTAAGTGAATGGTGAAGAGGAGTGAAATATGTCTGAATGGAAGATGGCGAAGCAATGGAAGCCACCTGTCTCTTGTAATGCAGATGAGAGGATTGCTCGACTTTGCTTCTCAGCTGATGAGACATGTTTGGGAGTAACGGTGT